AAACAAACTATCTGGAATCGTTATCATAAATACCTGATGCAGCAGTAGCTGATCGACTAGGAAATTAAACACACCGCCGATGGCTACAACTCCTCTATGTGGCGTATTATTATTGTTATTATCATTAGTATTTGTCCCTTGACTTCCTAGTGGAACATAGGGATTCAGTAGCACGTCACCATTCCACTCTCTTCTCTGCAGTCTTCTCTTTTAACCTAGCGCCACCACTGCCCACAAGCTTTCATTTCCTCCTCACATGATCTCCTCCATGTCAGCCTGGGACACCCAGTTCGTCGTTTCTCATTTGGATTCGATTCAAGGGCCTGGTGCATAATGTTCTCAAATAATCTTCTCAGTGTATGCCTGATCCATCTCGACTTTCTTCTGGAGATTTGTTGGGCGATGGGTTCTTGGTTGGTTCATTGCCTGCCTGCCAGCTAGCCAGCCAGCCAGCCAGCCAGAGTTCCTCCTTGCTTAATCTTATTATTTTGGCCATCTAGTCTTCATTATTGAGTGAGCGTAGTCGGGAGCTGTTTGATGATGTATGTCTGTAGTTTGTTGGAAATGCTTTTCGTGACTCGCCAAGTTTCTGAGCCATGTAGAAGCACTGACTTGATGTTGGTGTTGGAAATCCGTGTGTCGTTCACGCTTTATGCTGAGTGCATTGCATTGCAGTGCAGTAGATCTGCACACTGATTTCAGATTAGTGGAGGAAGGCCTGTCTTGCTATCTTTCCGATCGTGTCTGGCTTTGACATCGTGATCTGTGCCTGTGTCGCGTGTAGTTGAGACGATGCTGCCTGCCTGTGTAGGTAGGTAGATAGGTGAAAAAGACAGCTTCGTTTAGGTTTCTCCTGTTAATGGTTATTGGTGCTTGTTGTTGTTTGTTGAGTATTCTCATCACCTCTGTCTTCTCTACGTTCACCTGAAGGAAGTCCTGTCTTCCTTCGCCACCCTCCCTCTTCTGCCATCTTGTTAGTTTTCGCCTTTACATCTTCGAGTTTGTGCCACATTGGATATAAATCGTGATCTTCGAAATGTAAATCTTCTAGAGTCTTTTCATCGGCCAAACAGCTTATTCCCATCGTCTCTCAGCTCCCCACAGTTGCCTGTTCCATGATCCAGTCCACCACAATCATGCAGATCATCGGTGATAGTAGTTGGCAACCCTGTCTTGACTTCAAAGGCATCGCTGAGCTCTACATTGTCAATCACTTAGCATAAAGCGTCGTCATATGGCTGTTGAATGAGGTTGATAAATGTTTTGGCACTAAAGCCGTAGTGTTGAAGCAGTTGCGAAATTGCTTTTCGGTCGATGCTGTCGAACGCCTTTTCAAAATCGATCAAGTTTAGGTAGAGAGTCGACTGCTATTCTATACTCTGCTCTATGATGATGCATAGCGTAGCATTGTAACTTGATCCGCACATGATTTGTTCTTCCCGAAGCCAGCCAGCCTGTTCCGGTCATAATTTTGAATCCAGGGCATTTTTAATCTCTCCAGGATGATGCGGCTAAGTATTTTGCTTGGGGGTGGAGAGGGGTGATTCCGCCCCGTTCTTGTTCCTGCAGAAACTTAGGTCGCCCTTCTTGCAATCACTTAGCAGGTACTTTTCCATCCTTCCTTCCAAACCTTCTGGAATAGTGGTGTGAGTATGTCCGCTGATGTCTCTGTCTGTTCTCAGTGTTTCTGGAGGAATTCCATGTGGAACTGCTGCCTTCCCGGATTTCAGTAAGTTTATGGCACTCAGGACTTCACTCCTGCTTTTGTCGGAGGGCTTGTGTTCACTGATAGTTCTGTGACTGGGCTGGTGGTGGTGGTATTTCTGAACAACTTGCAGTTGGTGGTCGATCCAAGAGTTTTTGGAAGTGGCCAGCCCATCGTTTTACTTGTTTCTCCACTTTCTAACTGAGTTTCCTTCATTATCTTTCATTGGTTTCGTCTGCATTGATCTCTCCCCTCCCAGATAGATAGTAACTGGGTTATTTGACATGATGTTGTCAGGTCTGTCTCTCCTACCTGCAGCCTGTTCTGTGCATTCCTCTTCACTTCTTTGTCCAGTATGGTGTTTTATAGGTTGTGTTCAGTTCCTCTTTTCGTTTTTCATCCCTGCACTGCACTGGTTCATCTTATGTTTCACCGTCACTATTCCCCTCTCCCTCTATCAGCTTCCATGTATCCATCGAGATCCATCCCATTCCATGTCTTGTTTCTTCTTCCCTCCAAGTACTGTTATGCAGGTTTCCCTTCACCTCTCTTTCATAGAGTTCCAGTGTTCTTCCACGCAGATTTCTTCAGGGGTGTTGCTCAGTGTCTCCCAATTTATCCTGATGACTGACTGACTGACGTGATGTCCTTTGTAGTTTCGTTCTTCAGTTTCTGTTCTGAGTGTTCAACTTCAACTGTGGTCTATCACCAGCTTCTTTGAAGATTTTCAACTTGGTTTTGAAGGTAGGTTCATTCCACTAGATGGTGAGTGGTGTGAACATACATCTGCTCCTCTCCTTGATCTTGTGTCCAGTAGGCTGCGTCTCCACTTTCTTCATATTGAGATGAAGTCGATCTGATTTTTAGTGTGTCCATCTGGTGAATGGTAAAATCAAATCCATGTCGTTGTGTTTGTACACACTGCCTCCAATCACCATATCGTTGAATGGGCAGAAGTCTGCGAACAGTTCTCCATTCTCATTCATCATTTCACCGTGTGTCTCTCGACACATGATGAGTTGTCTTCCTATGTTTTCTGCTTCCAGTTCGGCATTAAAACATGTCACCTATTAAAATGGATTTTGATGTCGCCATCTGGGTTGGGTTCTTGTCCATTACTGATTGCAGTTGTTTTTGTAGAATAGCTCCTTCTTCTCTTGGTCTTTGTCTTCATTATTTGTAGTTGCGTAGCTCAGTATTGTATGTTTGTGACTTTGCTTCCTTGTTTTTGATTTGAATCTTGCTGTGATGATCGTGGAGGAGGTGATTAGTTCCCACTGCATGAGAGACAGCCTTCGATGTTGTTGGGGACATCATGATAGCCACTGGAAAATTCAGTGTGCTGTGCTCGTGGTTGTCATCTGGGTGACAATATATCAGAGTAGATTATTGACTCCTGTCCAGTTGACGGTTTGGAGAGTTCACTTCTATTACATCTGCAGATTCCTAGCACTTCTATGCTATATCTTCTCATTTCTTTTGCAATCTGGGTAGCCTGTCAGCCAGCCAGCTTCAAACATTGCACAGACATTCCATATCCCCATGTTTACTTTTTCTTTCGTCGAAAGTGAGATTTCATATCGGCCATTTGGCTTCTCGAAAGCTTTCACCAACCGGCGTCATTTCTTCACCCCGATTCCAGCAAGGAATAAGTTTATTTTTATTTTTAATACATGCTTTGTCCTTTGAAGTTTGTTTAGCGGTTTGATTGGTTTCACGTGGCAGGGTTCGTAGCCGTATGCTCAATCTTCCGTCTTTATCCGGGTTTAGTACCGGCTGGTGAACTTGTAAACTAGGCGAGGTTCTATGTGACATAACTCAAGAACAATCTCAGTGGTGTAGATGTATTCATACTTCATTTTCTTCTAAATTCTTTTCATCTCCATTCGTATTATTTTGATGACCTTAGAAAAAGCTGTTCTAATAATATGAGATTCATTTCATTGTCTTGCATGTTTTCAACGCCCATTTCGATGTGCTGGCAGCTAGAATCACTGCACAGTAGTTTTAAGTTCTGTGTTGTTGATATTCTGTTTTCCTCTCACTCGTTCATTGAACACAGTTTCAATCAAATGTTCTACGGAATTAGTATTTGAAGTGATTTTAAAGCACAATAAAGTTAGATATTAACTAAGGACTACAATCTTGAAGAGTAGGTGTTCACTGTCGCAAAGTTTCAACTTGAAACGGTATTCTTGTTAAACGTTACTCTCGTATAATATCAATCAGAAATCATCGAATTTTATCAAAAGCACAATACTGATCACTGTATTGTTGTAGAAAACTCATTCTTGAAACTAGTGTTAATCCTGTTTGGTTTCATTTCGTTGATACTCCCCTTACCTAGTTTTCCAGTTTTTACCTAACATATCTTTTTTTACATACCTCTCTAAACGCCTGTATAAGCTATTTATCCTGTAAATCGTAAATCGTGCCTGAAACGTAACCCAGTAAATAATATTGTACCACTATGTGATAAATCTAATAATCCAACTAAAATGGACTTATGGTTAACCCAAAACCCATATAGTTATTTCAAAACTAGTGGTATGTACACCTGTAATCCGTAGTCAGTTAACTGCAATATGCTTTAACTGAAAGATTGATAACCGCGTATCGCATCCACAATGAACATATGGGAAGTTGATAGATGGGTTGTTATCTCTGCAAGTTTGTAGAACATTTTCTATTGTCCAACTTCAAATTTACTCAACTTTGATCTCCAACTGATGAACTACATCGTAGTGATGTTTAGGCAGTCAGTTTGTATCTGTAACCCTAGCGCAATAGGTGAACAACCTCACGACATAATTTGTTAACGTCTATGTGTTCTAAATGCCAATTACGATTGTTAGTGTCTAATATGACTTCATCAGGAAGCCAACAAATCATCTGCACTTGTCCATTCGAATCCCTAAATGGTAGCAAAATAATCTGTCAAATGCATTAGTGAAAAACCATTTAGTTGGCTTTCAGTTTCATCTTGGATGTTAGTTGTAGATGGATATTTATACGTGAAGGCAAAGCATAGTTTCTTTTATTAACCCCCCTTCCCTTCACCTTGTCTATATTCCCATTCTGCATTCTTAGTTGTATTTCTTGACTATCTTAATGTGATTGAAGTTTTGAATAGAAATTCTTCTGGTATATTTCACTCTTTTCTGTTTTATATACTTATGGATGTAAAGCTTTTGATAATTCTAGTCGCCAAATGGATTTATTTTTTAATCATGAGTTAATTTTCTTTCGCATAAATAATTACTGTCATCTTTCTTGGGTTTATTATTTTTTGCAGAACTCAATACGTCATAATCTATCACTGCACGATAGGTTTACAAAATGTCCTAAATCATCTGATAATACAAAATCTTCCTATTGGAGAATTAATCCAGATGTAGCCGCTAAGCCGTATGTACGCAGACGTGCTTGTTCAATGGATACAACTAATCTAAAGAGACCAGGATCAGGTCATTATGGCAAAGTAAGCAATCGATCAGGAGCAGGTGGTGTTTCGCATCGTGCAACATCTAACAATATGTCTGGTCATCGTCTTCAAGTGCCTTCAGTCGATAGTGAATCAGCTAAACCGTCTTTATCACCTGTCTGTGAATTACAACATCCACTTGATTATAACTATCCATCTTCAAAAATGACGTGCAGTCGTTCAGATGCAGAATGTGGTAAAGATTACAGTGGTACAAGCACAATCAGTCGTTTAGCTTCATCAACATCACCGTCAACAGATACATGCAGTACTACTAAGTCTATGAATTTCTATCACTGTCCACAACAGGCAAATAGTAATGAGACACTTTGTGGTGGTGTTGGTAGCTCAATACCGACATGTATTAGTGCACACTGGCAAAATGCGAAGGCTTTAACGCATCATTTGTCAAATTCTCAGACATACAATTCAAATACTTCTGGTAATCTATTCAATTCAGGATTTTCTGGTCTATCGTGTTCAACTGATCTGCCACCGAATCGATGGTAATTCTCAATCCTATCAATTTATATTATTATTATTATCCAAATATTCATACATGTTAGCGTAGTATTTTTCAGGTTCAGATTTCATGGCAATATAGTAGTTATTATCGTCGGATGGGCGGAGAGACACGTGTACCTTACCATCGTTGACGTTGGAGAACAATATTACATATTGATAGTTAAAATAAGTAGTTGTATGGATTTATTGTGATTGTTTGTAGCATGCGTTTGATAACATGGATACCTAAGTATTGTAGCGTTCTGTTTAAAGTTTAAATTCTTAAAAATATATGGATAAACGGAACACAGATGCGGACCCATCATCTGGAATGCGTGAATCATGTACATTTGTTTGAACCGATTGTTTTTTTTTTTACGATACTTAACTAATTTGGGTATAGTTTGTGCGTGCCTTAGTAGTATTCTTTGCAACCAATGTTTATTATGCGTCTTTATTCATCTGATTTTAAGGATCTTAGAAAGCACACTTCTCTGACTGACTTCTGTCACCTGACCTTTTGTACTAAGATAAACTGTTAGTTTTGTATTACCAACAAAATTCATCTATCAAAAAGTTACTGGTATCTATTGTGCAATAGTTCCTAGCTTAGTTTCTCTTCATGTTTTGGTTGATTTCTTTGTGTGATCATTAGTCGAATTCTCATTCCATAGTGTATTAGATATTTTGAAAAGTCATGATAGATGCCAAGCGTTAACAAATACTATTTTACTTCATCTAGGTCAGTTGTTTTTAACAATATCGTCTGAACTGTCATAGGTCCTTGAAAGTTTCACCTATTTGAGGACAATTAAGATATAAAGCATAAAAATAAATGAAAAATTAACAGGCAATCAGTCTATAATGTAATCGTAAATAAAAGTGAAATAGCTAAAGGAGACGGTTGAGAATAGTGATAGGACAGTTGTGTTTAGAACTAATAATACTAATACACAGCACCTGAAGTATGTTGATCGGTGATCGACTTTTATGTCAGGAAAGTCGAGGGACAGTTGTGATACTTTATGGTAAACAGTTCAGGGGATCATTGGCTACTTCTCAGTTTACTACTTTTCAACAGTAGTTAGGATAGAACATTGATGCTGACCCTCTAAATCTCACCGAATAACCAGTGTAAAACAGAAAACGATTGCAGTTCCTGATGAGTTCCCTTCTGAAATGGTTAGAGGTGATTGATACAAGCTTTTTAGTTTAACTGGATTACTATACTAGTTTGATGTTGAAGCATGTTAATTTCCTCTTATTCCTATAGTCAGCAATTTGTTTCAGTGTATAAGAAATGGTAAACTTGTCAGTTAGATGAGTGGGGGTTAGTTTTGGAAATACTGAATTGAAGCCAACAAATTAGTTGGTTTAATTGTTTTTACATTATCTCTGCTCATGGCATAGACGAAATATACAAATGTTTATTGGATTCTGAGTGTCTCAAGAGAGGTGACTATCTACATTATAAGTAAGGCTTCATGGTATTTCGACCAAAACATGAACTTTCACTGTTTTTTTCTTTTGAAATGGTACACTTTATGGTTATAGACGATAAGGACAACTAAAATAGATGATTAAAAGTTAAGAAAAATTGTAAATTGGACACATGGATAAGGTTGTTTCAACGTTCTATGGATTAGTGTTATCTATATCTCAAGTATCTTGGAGATAACTGGTTTTATGGTATCACTCTTATCCTAAGGATTATCTCAGTGAGGATCAAGAATATCTGTACAGTCTTACAGATCAAATATGTCTGATTTCTTAAATTAATTGAAATTATTTAACGGATGTTATTATTCTCTTCTGACAAAAAACCTTACATAACAAATATTAATTAAGTATGTCCTGCTTGTTTAACCAGTCATTTGTAAATATTTAATGATTCCCATTGTAACATCAAGAATAAGATATTCAGCAAAGAGACTGTTTTCAACGAATTTATTTTCAAGCTATACATTCATATGTATATATGATATTTGAAAAATTATATCCCTTGAGGAAAACTAAACACTATATGGTAATAACAATAAAATAGATGGTTACATAGGTATCTGTGATTATGATAACGGTTGAAGTATCAGTGATAACAAAGTAGATTGCGTAATATTTGAAGTGGTTCATAGAGGGTATATAATTTGGAAAAGGGTGAAAAAAAAATTGATGGAAGTGGTAACTGAAGTATTATGTAATAAGATTGGACAAATTGGTCAAGATGAAATCAATGTTTTCTGAAAAAGATTAAGATAGTCAAGTGAAATAACACCGGAAACTAATCAGATGCTGCGTTATTCAAATCAAATCCTAGATGTAGTGTTTTCACTGCGCGGATAAGCAGTTAGTCCAGATCCTAAATTAGAGAGATAGTCGGTGTCCTGTGAATAAAAGAGGAAGAGATTGGATTGTTTTCATATACTACACCCTTATAACTTCTTTTTTTTCACATCAGAATACATAAATTCAACTTTATGTAGGAAGCAAATACTATGATTATTAGTGTTTTTATCATTGTTATTACTATTAATCATACTATTATATTAACGTATTTTTGTACGTCATACCTGTCCATGATGGCAGATTGCAGTCTGACTGGTATAGTGAGAGAGACAGAGTGTTGTAAAAGAGTGGGCAGGACACACTTCTTTGCATGTGATGTATTCATGAGTCTCCAAAGCGTCATGTGATGATCATTATCATCCACCCACGTAGACGTTAGTGTTTAGAAGAAGATACTACTTATTTATGTGCTGCAAAGTAGTATATTCTATCTAATATAGGGTATGGAAATTCAACTTTGATTTTATTCACACTTACGCTGGTTCCTATTATAGTGTATTTTTGTTATATACTTGTTGATTTCTAGTCTTAGAAGAAGAAGAAGACTATATTTATGTATCCATTATTCATTTGACAGAAAAGGATTGGGCACATTTGATCCATCTGAATTTGATATCTATGGATAATTTAAAATACTTCGAATAAATGACATGTAAATAGAGTGAGTGGTTTGCACCACTTGTTAGTTCACCCATATACCGAATAGTCATAGCGCTATATTCACGACTTCCTTCCTAGTTGTCTCTTACGAATATTCGTTTTTGGTATCAAGTTTTCAATCAGGGTATCTTAACATCTGAAGAATTGCAGTCATGTAGGCTGAGCTTCTCTACATAAATGAGACAACGGTTAGCAAAAGGTGTCCCAAGATGAACACACCAAGTTGTGGCTCCAATCCATGAAGTATTTAACCGTTAACCTTAGCTGTGTACTAACGTGTAAACTGCCAAGCTGGGGTCGTCGAGTTGACAAGAACCAGTGATTGGAGGACTCCTGGTGATGGCTTAAAATCAGTTGCAATGGCGCGTATATATTCACTGCTTGATGTCCCCCGAAAGTTTAAACATTTTCACTAACCTTGATTTTCGAATTGTTTCTCCTCTCATACAATACACCTTTGTCTACCCACATTTGCTTTACATACTGCTACGTATTGGGCGAATTGAACCGATACACTTTTGTGTGAGGATTCCACGTTGATTTTTTCTGTCTGTCGTATCATAGTGTTTTTCTTCAACCCATTCTTACTCTAATTAGTAGGGTATGGAGTGGACGATGATACAATATACGTAGCATTTCCAAACCCTTTTAAGTTCAAAATTTAAATGTGATTCTTTTTTTACATTATATTTTAGCAGTCGTACTAGTGGATTAATTGAACAGCTACTGCGTAATGATCATAATGTTGGTATGAATAATTCATCGATGCATACAATAGATCGATTATCATCAGATCATCATTTTGCAAATAATTCATTTCCTACTTGTCATTCAGGTAAATCATCGCATACAGGTAATACAAGTAATAATTCATCGAATATGTGCAATTCATTGCAACAAATGGAATCAGGCTGTTCAGATTACCTCACTAATACTGTTGATACACCATCCCAGTTGGATATTATTAGACAGCAGTCATTGCATTCAAACGCTTTACTTAACCACCTTAGTCCATCTCGTACAGTATCATCATCTGCTGGTGCTCATCATTTATTACCAGTACCTTTGTTGACCGGAGATCATCATGGATCATCGGCAGCTGCAGCCGCAGCAGCAGCTGCTGCAGCAGCTCAATCCCATTGGCAAGCTTATCGTTCTAATTTGCAGTCATCAGTTACAGCATCATTCTATCCAGTCTCCCATAATACTTCAAATTTCCTTTCACAATCATCTGCATCATTACAATCTTCAACACCAGTAAACCATTTCTCATCGTCATTCTATGACAGTTCACAGTTAATTCACTCGTCAAATGATGGGAAATTGATGCCTTTTCTAAATAATTCTAGTGGTACAGCTACATCATCACTATCACCGTCCACAAATAATTCATCGACCACCGGTTCATGGCGTCATTCTCTCGGGTTAGATATGCGTTTACTGAGTGATTCACATAGTTCTTCTGTACGACCAGATCCGATAACACCCTTATCTACATCATCTTGTTCAGGACAAAGTGCTATGGAGAATACAAATCGATCTTTAGGACCGGTAACACCACCAGATTTAATGTATTTTCCACAAACATCACTTTTTGGCATGTCTGATCATAACATGGAGTCATCTTATCAGCAGCAACAACAACAGCAATCTAAACATGTTTGTCAAGATGGTACATCAATGGCAGAGCAGTTGTGTAATTTGGGGCGAACTAATCGTTCATCTACTGCAAACTATGATACACAACAGTCATCATCTTCATCACCGTCTTCAGCGTTCTGTTCCAATCCAATACAATCATGTTCCACAGATCGTGCATATAGAGAGTTGCGACAATATGTTGAACCCTATTCATCTTATGAAGATGATTGTGAACCATTGGAATTAGAGTTGAGTTTAGAATTGGCTGATCGAATTGTAGGGAGTACTACTGTAACATCGACCAGTAATCCAATAAAGTCCAGTTTTGGTTGTCCTCCAAACTGACAAAAATAGTAATGATAACAGCATATTCCCAATCTTTCAACATGGACATTTTGGGAAGTAAACAATTAGTGAAGTTGTGTATTACTATTTAGTATGAAAAAGGTAATTTTATTCATTGTGTTGCAGGATTGATAAATCTTCCAACGAAATCTGAAGGCAGCTTGCATGAACCTCCGAATTCATCTTTTATGATTTTTCTTTTTTTTAAATTTATTTATTAAAAAAAGGGATCATTTCCATCCTCTTTTCTAAATCTGTTTCTTTGTAATATTACGCGTTAGCGACTCCCTGTTTTTGACTAAGGAACCTCCTTCTATACCCCCTTCGTTACTTGCATCTAAAAAAAATATTCATTCGAAGAAGTAGTAGTAGTAGTATTACAACTATGATAAATTGATTTATCTTGCCAGTGTATAACCAGTTGTCTTTCCACAGTTGGCACACAAGCAAGATTATTTGTTTGTTTGTGTGTTTTCTCTTGCCTAACTGGTAATTATTCAGGTTCCTTCATATATATATATATATATATATATATATATATATATATATATACATGAGTTAATAGCGCCTACTATTCCATCTTAATTACTTAACCCCGGTACTTGCTAGTTGTCTGTGTACGTGTACGTATAAAGCGATGCTATATCAGAGAGTTGAAAGTTGTGAACCGGTTATTACAAACATTTGGCGCCAGGGCAAGTCCACCTATCTACCTATACCCACTTTTATCCCTTTCCCCCTGCCCTTTGTTTTCTTTCTTGTCAAGTCAGGTACTTTTTGTGTTTTGTTTTGCTTTGAGTATTGTTTTTTTTAAAAAAAAATTATTTTTTGTCTTTTCCTACTATTGTATTCTTGAATATTGCCACTACTACTACTACTACTACCACTTATTATCATTACTAATTAACTTGAAGGTGAATGTGTGCTTTTATAAAGATAATTGTTGCCAATAATCTGTATGTGTTCTCGCTCGCATATTCGTGATCTACATTGAAACCTGTTGTTATTGTCACTGTTGTTTTAACTCATGAAAAAACGCCGGAGAAGAATTGTTCTCAATTTTTCCAGAAAAATAACTCTATCAATACATCGGCAGGAATTCAGGCTTTGTCTACCCATTCTTATCTAACCACTTTAACAGTAGTCAGCAGAAATAACAAAAAAGAGATTGACTTGTTCAGCATATTATCACTACTATTATTGCTATTACATTGTAACTGACTAGTTGTTAATTATTTTCATTCATTACATCACTATATATCTATAGTGTTAAGTATACCATTTCTATTGTCCATTGTTATCATCATTGCTTTTCTTTTGTACTGACTCTTTACGCATATGTGTGTTTATTTTCACATTAATGTCCTTTTGTTTTATTCGGTGAATTGATGATAATATTGTTGTCATCAACGTCTTACCTATTTGGGAACTAAAACTTCTAATGCTGTAAATTGTCGTTCGGCTTTTGGTCAGTTTTTCCTTACCTAATCTTTTGTCATATTCTACACCCTGTTTATTCTGTGTGTACGTGTGCGTACGTGCGTTTACTTGCAGAACGTTATTCTCCTCCTTCTTATTATCACTTCCACTACTACTTCTACTCCCAGCATTTACACAGTGAATGAAAGCTCATTACAATGAGTATAATTACTGCATCATAATATGTGCTAGCTAACAGCATGTTATAGGCTGCAGGCAAGTTTGGATCATCCATTAGTGATTGTGTTTTTATAAGCGATATATATTGTACAGTAGCTGTGATTATATAAAACAATTTATCGATAAATAGACACTACAATAGTGATCGGAAGACCACAACAGCATGTTAATAATAAAATATTCTTTATACTACTTAAGCATAGAAAATGAAAAGCATTAAAATATGTGACAGACGACAAAATTCAGCATTTTCCCCCCTTCTGCTGTTGCTGACACATCTTTTGTCTACCTAACATTGTGTTGTGTTTGCTTTTTGTATTACACATTCTGTTGTCTATATCCCGGCTATATATATATATATATATATATATATATATATATATATATATATATATATATACAAATATATTCTTTGTAATATATAGTTCACATCATTCTGTTTTGTAAAACCCTGATATTATTTCAGTATAAATAACCATTTGTTTTCCCCTATCTTTTACTACTGTTGAGTTTTTGATTTCGTTCTTCCGATATTTTTTCTCTTCAGAAAGTCGAACATTTTGAGAAGCTTTTTTAGAGTTTTTTTCTCTCGTTCCTACCTTATTTCCCTTCTTATCCCACGTGATTTCACTTCTTTTTTTTCAAGAGAAAGACTTGACAAAATGAAACAGCACATAGCGTACATGTCTATATCAGCGCACCAATTATGTGTACTAATCAATTCTCCGAGTTCATTCTATATTGACATGTTGACAGTTATGTGTGTGGGTGGGTGGGTGTTTAATTTTTTGTTCTCTAACAAAGTTCACTTCATATAGATACAACGTGTAAGCTTTTTCTCTTCTATACCATTCTCTTCCATCCTGCACATTTACCTCCTAATCAGTAAGTAATAAATACCATAAGAATCAAATTAAATAATACCACCTTACAATAAATAATTTCTTTATGTGCAACTGAAGGAAGTCATTACCTATTGTATTACTGTTGGCTAACTATTATTATAAATATCGTATATACAAAAAGTGTATCATACCCCCCCCCCCCATTATTATTACTGCTACTATACCGTGTTGTCCTCCTATGCGCCCATGTGTTATTTACTTATTTATTTAGCAGCTTCTGTGTGATGAGTATGATGATCCTAATGTTGTTCATTGATGCTACATTTTGCTTTTAAGCTTATTTTCCATCTGGGTAGTTGAGTTTCTTCAATGCATTGTTTTATTCTTTCGTCTCTGTCTCTCTCTCATTCTTCTCCGTTGCAATACATAAATATTTATTTACCTCCCATCTGCCTACCTGATTAATGTGTAATGTTTTTGAAATAAGTCGGTTCCACTCTGCCATATAAATATATTTATATATCCGTTACAGACTCATTTCAGTTTGATAGATCAGGGGATTATTTCTATCTTTTTTCCAAGGCTATACATTTTTGGTCTGATCCTTTTGTTCCCCCTAACTTCTCCCATTTATCAGGTATTAATTATTATTATCACTCATATTTGTCTACGTATATTCTCCAACTTTAAATTGTTCAAGGAAAGTAAACCGTTGATAAGGTGAAGAACAATAAAGTTCAGGAATGTCATTTCATTGTTTTTATTCCTCTTTTCTATGCTGACTATACATACTCTACCCAATGTGTTCATCTACCTCTTAGACCGACTATGTTAGGTCTAATCATACATATGTGTATGTATATATACACACATATATGCATATACATCTATGTTTCTGTTGAAGCATGTCCAGAGATTCATTTATCGCTTCAACATCCTCCTGATTGTAGCCATTCTTGCTATTTCTTTTATTATTATTATTATTATCTCTCTCATTTTGATCAGGTGTAAACCGATTCCACTCCTACTAATATTATCAATTTAAGTCTATGCTGATCGTGTTCAGACTCATTTACTTTACATGTGTATGTACTAACCTGAGGTCTGTAGTAATTGTGCCTATTTGTTTGTCTAACTTCAGTTGGTAGTGAGCGCCAGTTAATCTCTACATGTACTTTACGCTTTTTTTCCCCTTACCTTCTTTCTTAATCTGTGTGCTCAAGTTGTCTTTATCCGTCTTTTTCTTTTTGTCCATATTCCACCCTGTCTCTCTTTCTCCTTTTGTGTATTTGAGGAGACTTTTCCATACGCAAGAAACTGCCTACTCAGGAATTTGATTACAATGTGACCAGTTTTGCTGATTAATATTATTGTCATTATTATTATTATTATTTTTTATTCTTGTCATTTATTAATTTGTCAGTGACAAACAAAAACTATTGTGTGGTGAATTCATATGATAGTTGTTTTGTTTTCCGACGTACTACTGGGTGCTGTGTGTGTGTGTGTGTTGTCATGATTGCGGCAGTCTTAACAAGTGCGTATAATTAATCCAGACACTACTTATGGTGACCAATTAAGTAGTAGATGAGCCTTGTTCGTTTATGACGAATATGATTTGATACTTGTAGTTTGGTTAGATTACATATAGCGTTAACCATTGGTATAGCCTAATTGTTTATTACTCTGGAGTTGTGTTTTCTGTCCATTTCCGCATAGGTGATATTCAATTTCATGAATATGAAAGTTTGGCACAACTGTGCTTATAAGTTGAAATATCATTTTTCAGTGTTGTTCCACGTGGAGACGCTTAATATTTAAAGTTTACGAGCTGTCTTATTCAGAACAATGTTACATTTCATAACTGTCTTGTCAATCTTCCCTCTACTTCATGATATCCTTCCACTAATTGCTAACATTTCGAAAACTTTAGGCATTGGTCCAAATACTACTTCACATAGTCAATAGTCATTGACTTCAAATTTTAGTAGTAGGGGGTGAAAAAAGTTTTTTTTCTCGATGATTTCATTTACATAAAGTGTAGAATCGCATTTCAAGTTATCGGAAACAAATAACATTCTGTTGTGTTAGTCAATAGGAACATGTGATTCCTGTAGTATTCTAGAGTAGAATGAAAAGTTTCTGAAGACACAGAAAATTATTACTTTGACCATGGTAGGGCTATAAAGAATGTAGGTATTGTTTCTGAACACAAAACACAGGTTCAGGGTTTTAAATTGCCAGTGTTCCGGCTATGTATGAATGATGCAGGCGAAGGCCTTTGAAGTTCTGAGGAGGCTCTGTGTAAATTACTTTGAAAAAAACTAGTAAGGGAGAGGGGTGATGTGTGGAAGTGATTTGTAGTAGTTCAAGAACAGAATTGTTGATATTTCTCCTCCTTCTGGATAACTGAGTTGGACAATCTCCCAAAATACGCGTACTGACTTAACGCTGTGTACGATGAATGTACGTTGCTCCATATGAACTAGTAAAATG